TATGTTACCATGCCGGTTTATTTTTAGCGTCACCTGTCAGTTAACACTTGTGTTATTGTGTGTCATCACGCACCTGGGTTTTACGACATTGAGATGCGTTGCTGTTTCTCAATATATATATAGCATCACACCACTTGTTTTGTGTGGGTGTGTGCCTATAAGTGTATTAATAGCATTCCCAATTGCCCACACATGCTCTGTATTTGCATGGCGTGTGAGTCTGTCAATTATTGAGCCTCATATCAGAGTTACTGGAAATGAGTAATGGTGATACTGGCTTATTCTTGTATTGGCATATTGTTAGCAGATATGTGTACAGAAATTGGTCATACATCACATTTGTCTTTATTATATGCATTTGTTTTATTATGTCTGACTCACCATCTGAGTTGTATATACAATTTAAGTTGTAAAAAATCATGTTATTTTTAGACAACATTAATTACTCTAAAATGTACTGTTATGTCAATTTATTACATTTTTTGTAAATGAATGATTAATGTTTTGATATTATTTGGCTATAAAAAGAAAACACATGTCAGCCACAGTTTCCCAGAGTCCATGGTGACGACTTAATAAAGCAAGAAGTTCTAACATTTAAGAAACTGGAAACATTCAATATTTGGAACTTTTATTATTTCAAATAACGGTTTAATTGTAAAAATAGTTGTAAATGAATCAACTGATCAATTAAGCGACTGATCCTTTCACACATTTTCAGAAACAAAATGTGAAGAATCCTGGTGATAAATCTTTGTAATGCCAAAAATGTGTTCGAACCATTGCAATAAACTCTGTAAAGCATACCACACATCCTTTTCCCCCTGCAGGCTTAATAAGTTACAATTTATTATGCCACAAATAAGCCATACTTTCCTACACTTGACTGTGAACAGGATAATCACGACACACAAGTAAAGATTCCTTCATCGTCTAGCCTTTTCTTTTTTTCTCTCATCAATCATCAGTACAGTTTTGTAATGCCCATGCCACAACCAAAAGGTCAGAGGTCAGACAGTTAGAAGACTTCTCTTGAAGTTGTGTCCCTGAGGCGGCGCAGGAGAAAATATGAGGGGTCGCCGGCTCAGAGTAGAACTGTGTCTAAACGAGAGTGTCACAATCTACAGTAGCATGCACTTTACTGTGATTCTCCAGCTTGACTTCTCACAGCCAAAACAGACTGACAATTGTTGAATGGGTTCATTTCTTTCTCCTGTGGGTTCTAAAGGGTCATTTCTTTGGAAGGGGAAACCAAAGCTAAATTTGGCCCAGGGAACTGTCATTGAAACGCTCTGTCTTATTTGGCCGAGAATATGTGTGACTGCCAAGAAAATGGACACTGGTGCTAGCAGGTGCTGAAAGATAAAGGGGAGCGATAACACGGTTCATTAGTGCCGATACACTGCCTCATTCAGACAAATTAATACCTCAATTATGCAAATCATGACATGAACCACTGTTTGACCTGAAGGGAACACCGGCTGACTTCCTATACTTCCAACAGTATCTGATTCATGTCTGTACACCTTATCTCCACCTACACACCTCCACCCGTGCTCCATGATCCTGCCTTACCAGATGTTACATGAGTGAATGTGGCCTGTATGCAGCCACACACACATACAGAAATGCTAGATTATATTAGTTTTTTACATGTAAAAAGACACAGGGCATGAAGGTGATTTGCCTGAGAGAACAGGCTCTCATGCTCACTTCCCTAATGAGTTGCCCATGTGTCTGCGGTATACTGTGTATCACAATCTGTTATTGCACACTGGGTTGGCAGGCTATCGACACAGAAGGGCTTCTTTGTTTCAAATCCACCCTGCTGTCAGTGAGAATAAGGTTACTGTCTTCTGGTAATAGCCGGCTTAACTGATGGATTTTTAATAAAGTTACTGTCGTTGTTTGAACTTTCCCTAATAAGCTCAATTTTTTTCCCCATTATCTCATGCACACACACTCTTGCGTGATAGCACAAGCAGAGTGACGGTCCTGTTGCTGTGTTTTTGAGGAGCGGTATCAGTAGTCAGCTGAGTTGATCTTAATAAATCAGGAACAGGAAATGTGATCTGGGGCTCTGGCCGGCCCAGAACACTGTCCCTATTGTCAGAGCACCGCTGTGGCTCACACTGGGAAACACTGGAGGCTTTTAAAGGTTATCTGTCCTGGGAAAAGGTACATATTCACTTTCACAACTAGAATGTTTATAGCACATAGGTGTACAACATTTCTTTATATAAAACGATGATGCCCTGATCACTAAATAGATCTATACATTGATGTAAAAAAGGCCTTTCTGGGGTGGTCAATAAAAGTTCTTCTACTAGTTTTATAAATGATTGAACATCTGGTCAAATACTTTTGAAAGAAAGTGATTATCACTAATGGTGAAAAGTTCTCCATCGGTCAGCTTAGTCATCAATGCAGCATTCACGGTACAAATATAGCACTGAATTTATCATGACCTCATTTTATTAAGCTGAAGACTTAAAATACCTTAAAAATAAAAATAAGGTCATCAGCTTAGGGTTTAAGAAATTGTATCTGGCGGTTTTCACTTTTTTAGACATCTAACACTTCACCTATTAATAAAACAGATCTATCAATAATGATAAGGAATAATACTTCAGATGACCTTCAATAAATGAACATGTAGTCACATATTTCTTGATACGCGATAATGTTTAGTAATCAAAAGGAAAAGACTTTCAGACATCAATGATTTAAGAAAAAGTTAGCAGATGACTTGATAGGGGAACATATTGCAGCCCTACTTCCAAACCTGTTCTCAACATGATATAGAAGATAGTGATAAGTATGTGCTATTCCTTGTTTCTGGCTCAGTGAATTTGTCTTACTCGATTACAATACAACACTTTTTTCTCAGCCAACACCTTAGAGAAACCAAAACAACTCTCCACCTCTTCCCTACAGTATCTGTGTTAACCGCATTGGGATTTGAATGCTCAGAAAAAGCCTCTACCTAAACATTATAATCTTTTTGTTCTTTAAATATCCTGTATAAGGGTTACCCACCAAGCAAAATGAAACCCATGCTTCATACCTCAACTGCAACACATGAAAAACTGACTGCTCACAACCACATCACACTGCAAATGACTTATAGAAATTGTAAGAATTACAGTACAACTAGTTAGGCCAGTGCATGACTCAGGGCACATGCCAACTGTAGAATCACATAGGCGATTTGTGTTGACATACAAATAAAAACATATCTCTATTATGATGATGTGTCATTTGAACCTGCATCCACTCAGCGTTTATGACTTTGACAAAGCCAAACCCAGAGGCTGTCACAACTTGTGGAGCAAAAAAGCCTTTGTCATGAACAGTTTGATGTAGGATGACACTAATCATGTAGCATTATGATCAGATGCCTGGATACAGTATTTTCCATGCTGCAGAGACAACCATGCATGCAAACAGGTAGACATTCAAAGCAATAATGATCCCTGCTGGTTATCTGAGATGATGAGAGGAAAAGAAAATGAGGACGACGAGATCTAAAGGGTCAGAGAGTGTGGTGTCGATTCCTTTGGCATGGCCCACATGAAACTAATGTAACTGTATCCGTGCAGCACTGAGGCTATGACCTCATCCCGTCCAGAGAGGGAACCTGGACACATGAGAACATTATTCCACGCATGGCTGCCCTTTGAGCGTGTGTGTGTGTGTGTTTTCATTTTCTGGGGACTGAAAGGGGCAATTTTTATGACTTCTGTCATAATACAGAACACACACTCACAACACAGCTGCCTGAACCCAAAATCCATCAAACAACCAAACATCTGTTGCCTAGTAGTGAATGAGTCAAACTTTTCAATGACGTTATGGGCAGAAATACATCCAATAGGAAATTCTACACTAGCACTCACAAAGAGGACTTAATACCATAATTACATAGGCTAATTGTTTGGTCTCTTTATCACAATAGGCACGTTGCCTGTCAGATTAGGATAATTACCACATCAAGTTACAAGTCCAGGCAGGTAATGAAGCTAAGGTTGCACTCTGGCCATGTACTACGTTTATTCTGATCAAGGAAATCATTATGACTGTTTTATTTTACATTGCTGTAGCCTACTACAGTTATTCAAGTGAAAGGAGCGGAGGACACTACCTGCACATTTCAATCTCAGCCATGTGAGCTTTTACCAGGAAGTAACTAAGTACATTTACTCAAGTACTGTAATTAAATACAAATTTAAGAGACTTTTAATTGACTTGATTATTTCTAATTTTTGCTACATTGTACTGCTACTCCAGTACAATTCAGAGGTGAATGGTGTTCTTTTAATCCACTACATTTATTTAATACATTCAGTTACTTTTCACATTTGATTAATTATTTGAATTATATTCAACACTTTAATAAGACTTTAGTTACACTGTCAGTAACATTCACAAGCTTGTAGCTACCCTGCAGTATAGAAAGGTAGCTCTGCACCTTTACAAGCTTTGAGAAACAAATTACTGCATCAATAACTATAATCAAAACATATAATATAATATATTATTCTGAAATTGACCAATTTGCATAATGAATACTTTTGTTTTTGGTACTTTTAGTGATGCTAATAGTAATACTGTACTTTTACTTGAGTAACATTTTGAATGCAGGACTTGTAACAGAGTATTCCTACACTCTGGTACTTTACTCAGGTACAGTATCTGAGTACTTCTTCCACCTCTGGCTTTTACACCTGTTGAGTTTGGAAGGAAGCCAGAAGAAGGATAACGTGGATTTAAAAAAATGTCATGGTACGCAGCTGATGTTTATCTACATTTTAACCACACAAATAGTTAAACAACAAGTTCAAGAATGTGAGCTGAGACACGTCTTGTGCACAAGGAAGCAGAACACTAGCAGTCGAGTTTATTTTTGAAAAAGTTATTACCTTTTAAAAAAAGTGTTAGGTTTGCTTGTTTACTGCTCGGTGCACGTTATCAATATAGAAACTGAAAACATCGCCTACCGTTTGGAGGTGACGTTCAAACGCGACGTATTTCCAACTTCATGCCACACTGGAGAATCTGACAGCCAGGTTTAAGGCAGCTATAGCAAGTAAGAAAAAAGAAAAACAGATCAAAACTTCGTCCCACTGAATGTCCTTGTTACTTTGACTAAGCTGCTCCGGTCGTTTTAGTGTCAGTTTAGCTGCCTGGTGTTTAAAATCAAAACGTTGGTTCCAGCCGTTAGTTAGCACGCGTCTCTGTCAAAGCTGCTACACGGATAGCTAAGCTAAAACTTTAAAAACGCCTCGGTTTTTATGTAAGATAAAGACTGAGCTCCGTCACCGAGAGCTGCTATCCACTTGTCTGTCTCCTGCTCACTGAACGACGGAGGTGAAACTGCAGATAGACCAGCCGAGAGTCACTCTCATCCGCCTGTGTGAAGCTGTGCGAGGGCTCCATCTGCTGAACTCAGCTGGGTAAGAGGGATGCTCTCTCTTTGTGTGTGTGTGTGTGTGTGTGTGTGTGTGTGTGTGTGTGTGTGTGTGTGTGTGTGTGTGTGTGTGTGTGTTTTCTAGGTACATTTACTGAAGTCTCAAGTAGGCTACTGTTCTAAAGTGCAAATTTGAACAGACCTATCTCCAATACCACTTTATATTTCTCCTCCATTGCTTTTCAAAGGGAAACATTACAGGATTGTTTTACTCTGCTGCTACGCCTATATTTATTTGAGAAAATATGATGTATTGTTATGGATAAATATAAGGCAGTAGAGTTTTGATCCTTTGAAATTCCCAAGTGACCTGGTGTAGGCCTATGTAGTTACAGTTGCTTAGAACCTGGAGAAAGACACATACAAATAGATAAAAAACGAATCATAGTGAGGAGGAGCATATAAAAGAGGTCAGTGAAAAAGGAGCAAGTAAATAGCACTTTGAGTATTATCCCTATCACTTGTGCCATCTTGTTGATGGTAAACTTTAAGGTCGAAACAGTAGATGAGTTGACATTTGAATTGCTTTTGGCTGTGTGTTTTACAGCAATGTAGTGTGTATCTTTAGGACACTTTTATGGGATCAGACAGGATACTTTTAAGGGAAAAAGGCCAGAAATATAAATAAATCCAGATGAAACACAACATAGTTAAAAGACATGTGCATATTCGGTCATAGGCTTTACATATAATTCTATAAATCCACTTTACAAAAAAAGTAAATTTCATTGTGCAGGACGGGGTTGCAGAGCCCTCAAAACCTAAGAGAAAGTAAAAAGTAATTTGCCTTTTTCCTGATTTTCCGGTATCTTTATTTCTGGCTCTAACCACTTTGTAAAGCCAAAGGCAAGTTTTCGAGTCAGTGTCAACAAAAAAGTCATAATCTATTTGGGACGTACAAACGCCTGCAACAACTCTTAATTCAGACAGTGATGCCACTCCTCACATGTCCTCTCCCAAACTAAACTCTCACTGTTTCTCACAGTTTCCTCATCGCGCTTGTGGACAAATCCACTATCTAAATCATTCGATCCATCAAGATAAACCAATCTGGGACATACCAACCAGTAAAGCTGAGCCAGTTTTTATTTCATGTGACTCAGGCATGTCCTGTCAATGACTAAACTGTTGTTCAGTTACAATTGTGTAGCTAAGGGGAGAATGATGGCCTTAGTTAGAAAAAGGCTGTCAACATAACTGAGTTTAATTTCAACAACAGTATGTCTTTTCCCTTGTGCTCTTCTTGGCAGGGCCAAGTGTCTGTGTCCTGAATCATTTGTGATACGTAAAAGCAAATTGAATTTCATAGCAGATCTCCCATTTTCAACTGCACATGCTTAAAACAGAGTTTCCTCTATTTGCAGATGTAGAGAGAGCTTGGTATCTGTTGCTGCTTAAGTTTCTTTCCCATTTTAAACAGATTATATTTGAGAGATTGCTTTTTTATGGCCTCTACGAATAAATTCATCAGCCATAATCAACCTTCAATCATTCTCGTCAATAAGTCATTAAATAAATTGTCCCTATCCATACATGTCTCTATTAAATGCTGTACTAACACATTTGGATACAAATATTTAAAGTGCCTGATATCTGATTATAAAATGCAGCCCTGTTGACATTTTGATACAAAAATGGGAAAGTTTCACAATGAGTCATTCAGAAATGTTTACAATGAAATCTGCCACGAAAAACATTTTTTTGCAAAAAATGTACAGAATAATGAACAATAGGACTTCTGAGTGGTCACTGTTTTTATAAAAAATTCACTGATGAACTCCGCACCAACATTTGTGTTTCTGGTAACAGGTCATTGTCAGACGCTCATTCTTTTCTTGATGCATTACACTATTTCTGTACTGTTTCTGTGTCCTTAGCGCAGTCAGCTTGTGATCATTTGGATCTGTGTGACTAACTCAGACAGAGAGAAGGCCAGTCATGAGACCGCTCAGTGAAAGCGAACAATATGCTGTGGTAAAGTCATCCTCAAGGCTTTATCACCAGACGCTTATAGAGATGCAATTTTTAGATTTTTTTAAATGGAAAGCCAGAACAGTGAAGAATGGAAAAGACACATATATGGCATACATGGGTAGGACTCAAAGGTGGAGTTTTGTGGCCAGTACGACTCACTCCTCTTCCAGTCACAGGAAGCCAGTAGGAATGAGAGGAATGCAGTCAGGCAATACGGTGATGGAGGGAGCAGCAGTTGCAGGGCAAATTGCCAAGAAAAGTGAAAGAAAAGGAGGGAGTCAGGGAAATGATAGTGAGAAAGTGATTAGGGAGTAAAAAAAGGCTAGGGCACGAATAGTTAAGATGCACATCAGGCATGGCTCCAGAGCCGCAATGACACATGTAAGAGTATTTGTTTCGCTCTGATCTTTACACAGCTTAATGTGGCTAATGTGGGGGATATTGGAGTCAATGACGGAAGTGCCAAGGTACATTTTTGTGACCCCTGGAATGTGTGGAGTTATCAGTCAAACACATTTCCTGGTATCAGGTGGAGGCTCCGCATTCAAGAATGTGTTATTTACTATGCAGCGGGTCATACTACCTCACATGCACACACATATCGCAAATTAAGAAGTGCACACGGAAATACATAACACAACCACAATTAAATCTGTTGATCTCTTTAGGGTTTTTTTTAAGCTCATTGTTTTGCTTTTACTGCCACTTTCGCTGCACTAATCAAACCTGATAAGGCAGATTTTTTGGCCTGCAAGTAACACATGGTTGTTTTCATTATCGATTTATTTTCTAGATTACTGTACAGCAATTCATTGATTTTGTCAGAAGAAAGTAAAAAATGCCTAGTTATTGTCATGTAGCTCAAAGAAATTCAGTGTACTTTAAAATAAAACTGAAAAGCAGGGCATCTGTTTCAAAATGATCAATAGGTAGACCAATCATTGCAAGTCAATTTATTGTATTGTGTGGACAAGCTCAGGATTGATCTCAGTAGATACAGTATAACTGTACTCAGCTTTCCAAGCACAAAGCAGCATGGTGAAGCATTAAGCTGCTGAAGAGCCAAATCCCTCAGTTGTTGGAGGACACCAGAAACACAAACACTTTCAAAGGAAATAATCTATCAATGTTGTTCCACTCCCCCAAAATGGCCAAAAATAGCAGTGTATCCAGCTTTAAATCCCTATAGTTGAATGATTAAAAGAGAAAAGACATTCAACCAAACTATGAATCTACAGATCATTGCCTTGTTGTATCCATAAAAGAAAAAATGCTCCATTACGCATGTAAAACAGTGGTTGTGAAGTTCTTTAACTTTGCTTAAAAGAACATTTCACGTGAGCAGGTAGGCCACGCGAAGCTCCTGTTGGCAGCTGTGAGGTGACTTTGAAGCGAGAAGGCGCTGGAGGCCGCTCGCTGCGGTGCGAGCTCTCTAAAGCCTTTCCATTCCAAACAGCAAAGCAGAGTCAACCCACAGAGGGGATACATAGCATTCAGCACTCGCCTAGTTTCTCTGGAAACTGACTGTGATGCTGGAAAGTGTTGCTTTACGACGCCTTCACACTCCTGTGTGCACACGTGTGGAAAAAGGTCAAAACATAAGAGTTGAGAACAGCGTGTACCCCTTTGAAAAGGTTTGTGGCGAATCTCTAAATTACATGTCAAACTGAAAAACCTGAAAGGTGACGATTTCACTGAAACCGCTGTGAAGTGAATGCTCATTTTGAAATCTCCTTACAATGTACATTCTTTATTGGGCTGTAGATACATTGAGAACTTTTATTTTCTAAAACATCCAGACATTTAATGAGAGAAAGTATACATTTGCAACAAGTAGAGTGCCATATATAATGCATGGGGTGATTATGTAAAGGAATGTAGTAAAAGGCACAACGTATCATTAACATTAACTTTATACTTCCTTCTAAAAGGGGTTTCCATCGCTGTATAGTTGTTGTTGTTGTCACTATAAATCTCTTCATCCCCTCAAAAAAATGTTGGACGTTTTTTCCTGTACAATTAAACTTCCCAATAGCAGTTACATTTCATATCCAGCGGATTCTTGCAATTTTCCACAAGGGGAACACAAATAAATGACTGCATATATCGATTGTTATCTAAACTGCTTGTTCAGGTGTAAGAAAAGGAAGTGAACTTACTGTCAACCACATATTTGGAGATCCTTTTTAAATTCCTTTACAGCGCTCACTTGACCTCAGTTGTCAGCCATTGCTGTGATAAAGAACGGTCTTAAGAACCGAGGGGTGAACTTTTTTGGGTCGTCAAGATTTGACTATAAATCCTGATTACTGTACTGGCTAAGCAATTTGGAAAATGTGCTAGAACAATTACAAATGCAGTCATTTTGGTGCCAGAAAGCAAAGATGCATTTAAGTTTTTGATTGATTGGATATTTTTGGATAAAGTTGTCAGTGGTGTACGTTTCGGTTTGTAGTTTTATCATTTAGATGTTTAAAATAAAAAATTCTAATATGATATTTATCAAAACTTTTGGTTAGGCTTTAAGTATGCAAGATTGATGTCACAGCATTGAAACACACAACATTGTTTCTAATCCCTGTGCCCAAAAGACACAGTGTCTTGATTCACTGTGAGACGCAGTGTGATCAGTGACCCTGACAGAGTGAGAGTTACGTCCCTGAGGGCCACTCCCAGCGCTCTGTGGCCTCTTAACCTGCTGCCCCTCGACCTTCACAAACCAAACAAACTCAGTCCGATGATTTATCACAATGACAGCTATATCGACCATCAAGTTCATCAAGACATTTTTACAGCTTTGCTGCTGTGACTGATTTTCCACGTTGGACGTTTATTTTTTCTCCCGTGATATAATTAAAGATTCCTTCAGTTATCATATTGCGATTGGCAAATATGTTAAAATGATTATGAGATAATCTTAGATTGATCATGCTTGAAGGTTGATTTTCTAGAAAACATCTCAAACTGTATGTATGTTTTTGATGGGGTGGAATCTCTCCGTTTTTGTATCAG